TGCTTTTCCGGAAATTCAAGGGCCAGTGTAGACAGCTTGCAGCTTATTCCGGAAAAGTGGCTGATTTTCCGGAATAAGTGGCCCAGTGTAGACACAGCCACTTAGTATGAGAGAGCCTCTGCCTCAGAGAGCTCCCAATCTAAAATATGCAAGACAAACAAAGGATGGGAGGGAGGAAGCATTACATCTCTCGTTTTACAAATAGAAAAAAGAAGCCAGAAGCTCTCTCATACTGTGATCCTGATTGGGCTCATCTATGGACTCTGAACTTGGTTCTGACCCACAACCTGCCCCCAGATCCCAGTTTTAGCTAGGGATGTAAGCATGTAGTCAACTAGTCGATTACCGGATAAACTTAGGCTTATCGGGTAGTCAAGTCGACTAGTCGCATTTCCTTCCTCCCTCCCTCCCCTTGCTTGGGAGAGCTGACTTAAAAGCCAAGCTCTCACTACATTTAAAATGCAGAGCTGCAGCAGGGGTAGCTTGTGGACCCAGTGTGAGCTGGGACTGAGTGCCTTCCCCTATTGACTACTCATGTAGTTGATAGAAATCGACTACACGATTACTTAAATACCCTGTTCTTAACATCCCTAGTTTCAGCACTGCCCTCAGTCCAGCTTTGACCACTGCACCAATCACCAGACTAGACCACCTGGAACCTGGAGCCTGACACACTCACTTATTCAGCCCTGCAGGAGCCATTGACTAAGACCTCTTTATAGCGCAGTCCATAAATACCATGCCACCCTGCCCCCTTTAATATGTTTCCTGTCCTACAAGATTGAGTTGTATGTTCAATTGTTTCAATGGAATTCTTGGTGCAGTGCAGAAGTTCTTAAGAGCTAGGACTGTACACTGTAGTAGCACATAGGCTGCCTCAAATTAACATTTAATCAATACAGTACATGACACCATTTTACCTATCAATGGTCTCTGGAACATTTGGAGCATAATCCCAGGTGATTTCTTCCGCAGCAATGAAATATTCCCAGTCCTTAATCATGCGCAGTTCCTTAAAGGATATTTTCTTCTTGAACACATCTTTCTCCTCACATTCTTCTATATTGAGGTACCCATGCATTCCAGCTGTTTGGAAAGACACAATACAATGGCTACTGCTAGACCTAGGAACACTGCGGTCCTACAGCCCATCAGCTGAGGACACATGCAAACAATTCACTGGTCAAAGTCTATTCAGGTTAAAAAAAAAAAGGGTGCTGATATTAAGAATGGTATTTTCAAAGGGGCCAGTGGAAGTCAATGAGAACTCAGCAACTAACTTCAATAGCCTCCTTTGAAAATACCAGCCTAAACTGTCAGCAAGAACTTCCCCTTTTCTGTTAAACTAGCCTTCCAACCCTTCACAAGAGAGAATCCACTGCTCTGTTCCAAGAGAGATCTGTTCAGTCTAGGGGAAAACTAACAGTCTCTGTTAAAAGAGCAGCAGAAAAGATTCTTTTGCCCACAGAACTGCAAACATTCCTCTTCTTCTGAAATAGTTGGTCAGCATCTCTTAGGGCTCCAGTTTTTTCTAGTGAGGCTCATCTGAGCACCTCCCAAACAGTTATAAACTAGAGTCAGATTCATTGTTGTTCTGAAGCCCCTTTGCAGCAGTAGTCCTAATAAGCCCCACCCCACAACACTAATTCAAAGAAAATACCCTGCATCCACTGATTTCCTGGCATGATCCCAAGTGCATTAGCTACCACATTCAACAAAGTTAGCAGCACTTTAGGACAGGGGTGGGGAACCTAAGGCCCGAGGGCCATATGCAGCCCCTGGCTTGCCTGGATCAGGCCCCTGAGGCTCAGGGCTCCCCTCCCCCCCAGCATTGGGGAGCCCATGCTGGTGCTCCAGTTCCCCACAGATTCTCACTTGTGTGTGGCCCCCAACTGATTTTTCTGTGGGTCAGCAGCCTCCAACTCTCCCCCCAAAGTTCCCCTCCCCTGCTTTAGGAGATGTCATGATCATGAGAGATGGCCAGCAGCCTGGGGACTAAGGGGTTAACTATACTTAAGCCAGGTCGAGTCGGCCAATAGGAATGCAGGTAGGAATTTCAAATTGGGACAAAGGAATTTTTGGTTTTTTCCCTCCTTTGTCCCTGGGCAGTTACTCTCCAGCTACTGAGGGGGACAGACACTATGTCTCCCTCCAAGAAGACCTCACTATCTGTAAGTAGGGTAAAGTTTAGATAAGTCCGCTAGGTTTTACTGTTTTACCATTTGGGAATGGGAATCTGATGTCTGTGCATTTAGAAATGGGTTTTTCTCTCTTTTGCAACTAAGCTCTGGGCCCCCGGTGGGGTTTCCCCCATGAGTATATTAATTTATGACTTTTTCATCTAGTCATTATGCTTGCAACAAGAGTATTGTGGTGATAATAAAAGTTCTTTCTCTTTTCTTTTTATTAACCTGGTATTGGTTAATTTTTGTGTCCTGGTTTTACTTTAGGGCTGAGATTTCCTAAGTGATCTCTTCCCTGGTTTTCTTACTGTTATTTGGGTGGTAGCAGCAGATTTTTATCCCCAAAATCTAGGTTTTTAGGATTTTGGGGGGAAATTTTATACCAAAACCTGGAAAAACAAGATTTTGGGGTACTTTTGCGGGGCCCCACTTCTGCATTCATTGTGTCAGAGTGGGGATTTATCCTTGACAGCCCAATAAATTAAGGTGACCAGAATTTGAAAATGTGCGAGGAGGACACTGAGTTGACAAAAAAGCATACTTGTATATGTATATAATAATCATATAAATAAATTATCACAATATGAGTTGTCTTATAAGACAGACTTAACAAAAACAAACATACAACATTAAAAACATCAATATTTGCTGCTCTTTTAAGAAATTAAAAATCTCGATCCATTTTTTATCAATTTCACGTTCAGTCCGTTCATTGTCTTTTATTATATTGTTAATTCTTCGTACTTCGTTGAACAATAAATTGTCATTTATTGTGATGCTAAATTTTTCTTTAATGAATAAAACTGTTTCAAGGATTTTATTCCATTGAATTTCTTCATTCAGCAGAATCCAATCAAACACGTACACTGGTTTGTCATGCTTAGTCCAATTTTCTAGATATTCAAGAGCATTTTTATATAAACTGATTGCCTCCCTTGTAAATTCTTTCTTCATTCCCGGATTGCTCTCTTGTAATTTGTTTAAATTAGTAATTACAACCAATAGAAGGAAGTTGGACTCAAGACGTGATTAAAGTTGCTCCTTTAATTGTTTAATATGCAATCCCACTTCTGTAGAAGTTATATGCTCTTTTTCAATACGTTTTATAACTGACTGGAACAAAGTTGCTTGATTGTGAACAAAATACAGAGTTACTCATCTATGGACTCTGAACTTGGTTCTGACCCACAACCTGCCCCCAGATCCCAGTTTTAGCTAGGGATGTAAGCATGTAGTCAACTAGTCGATTACCGGATAAACTTAGGCTTATCGGGTAGTCAAGTCGACTAGTCGCATTTCCTTCCTCCCTCCCTCCCCTTGCTTGGGAGAGCTGACTTAAAAGCCAAGCTCTCACTACATTTAAAATGCAGAGCTGCAGCAGGGGTAGCTTGTGGACCCAGTGTGAGCTGGGACTGAGTGCCTTCCCCTATTGACTACTCATGTAGTTGATAGAAATCGACTACACGATTACTTAAATACCCTGTTCTTAACATCCCTAGTTTCAGCACTGCCCTCAGTCCAGCTTTGACCACTGCACCAATCACCAGACTAGACCACCTGGAACCTGGAGCCTGACACACTCACTTATTCAGCCCTGCAGGAGCCATTGACTAAGACCTCTTTATAGCGCAGTCCATAAATACCATGCCACCCTGCCCCCTTTAATATGTTTCCTGTCCTACAAGATTGAGTTGTATGTTCAATTGTTTCAATGGAATTCTTGGTGCAGTGCAGAAGTTCTTAAGAGCTAGGACTGTACACTGTAGTAGCACATAGGCTGCCTCAAATTAACATTTAATCAATACAGTACATGACACCATTTTACCTATCAATGGTCTCTGGAACATTTGGAGCATAATCCCAGGTGATTTCTTCCGCAGCAATGAAATATTCCCAGTCCTTAATCATGCGCAGTTCCTTAAAGGATATTTTCTTCTTGAACACATCTTTCTCCTCACATTCTTCTATATTGAGGTACCCATGCATTCCAGCTGTTTGGAAAGACACAATACAATGGCTACTGCTAGACCTAGGAACACTGCGGTCCTACAGCCCATCAGCTGAGGACACATGCAAACAATTCACTGGTCAAAGTCTATTCAGGTTAAAAAAAAAAAGGGTGCTGATATTAAGAATGGTATTTTCAAAGGGGCCAGTGGAAGTCAATGAGAACTCAGCAACTAACTTCAATAGCCTCCTTTGAAAATACCAGCCTAAACTGTCAGCAAGAACTTCCCCTTTTCTGTTAAACTAGCCTTCCAACCCTTCACAAGAGAGAATCCACTGCTCTGTTCCAAGAGAGATCTGTTCAGTCTAGGGGAAAACTAACAGTCTCTGTTAAAAGAGCAGCAGAAAAGATTCTTTTGCCCACAGAACTGCAAACATTCCTCTTCTTCTGAAATAGTTGGTCAGCATCTCTTAGGGCTCCAGTTTTTTCTAGTGAGGCTCATCTGAGCACCTCCCAAACAGTTATAAACTAGAGTCAGATTCATTGTTGTTCTGAAGCCCCTTTGCAGCAGTAGTCCTAATAAGCCCCACCCCACAACACTAATTCAAAGAAAATACCCTGCATCCACTGATTTCCTGGCATGATCCCAAGTGCATTAGCTACCACATTCAACAAAGTTAGCAGCACTTTAGGACAGGGGTGGGGAACCTAAGGCCCGAGGGCCATATGCAGCCCCTGGCTTGCCTGGATCAGGCCCCTGAGGCTCAGGGCTCCCCTCCCCCCCAGCATTGGGGAGCCCATGCTGGTGCTCCAGTTCCCCACAGATTCTCACTTGTGTGTGGCCCCCAACTGATTTTTCTGTGGGTCAGCAGCCTCCAACTCTCCCCCCAAAGTTCCCCTCCCCTGCTTTAGGAGATGTCATGATCATGAGAGATGGCCAGCAGCCTGGGGACTAAGGGGTTAACTATACTTAAGCCAGGTCGAGTCGGCCAATAGGAATGCAGGTAGGAATTTCAAATTGGGACAAAGGAATTTTTGGTTTTTTCCCTCCTTTGTCCCTGGGCAGTTACTCTCCAGCTACTGAGGGGGACAGACACTATGTCTCCCTCCAAGAAGACCTCACTATCTGTAAGTAGGGTAAAGTTTAGATAAGTCCGCTAGGTTTTACTGTTTTACCATTTGGGAATGGGAATCTGATGTCTGTGCATTTAGAAATGGGTTTTTCTCTCTTTTGCAACTAAGCTCTGGGCCCCCGGTGGGGTTTCCCCCATGAGTATATTAATTTATGACTTTTTCATCTAGTCATTATGCTTGCAACAAGAGTATTGTGGTGATAATAAAAGTTCTTTCTCTTTTCTTTTTATTAACCTGGTATTGGTTAATTTTTGTGTCCTGGTTTTACTTTAGGGCTGAGATTTCCTAAGTGATCTCTTCCCTGGTTTTCTTACTGTTATTTGGGTGGTAGCAGCAGATTTTTATCCCCAAAATCTAGGTTTTTAGGATTTTGGGGGGAAATTTTATACCAAAACCTGGAAAAACAAGATTTTGGGGTACTTTTGCGGGGCCCCACTTCTGCATTAAGCCTAGATAGGAGATAAGGAGGAAGAGCCCAGAATGACACTCTGTAACTGAACTACTGCCTTCTGAACAGATGCCTCCTTGCCTTGCAGATGCTTCTGGACAAGAGACGATATCAGCCACCTTCCATTCTGGCTCACGGTCATGTTTGCTGTGGTTGAGGCACCTCCCACAATGCTGACAGTCGAGACTTTGTGATGATTTTGCTCCAGGACTTGCCCGTTGAAATGGATGGAGAAAATCTCTGGTTTGGAGCTCATTCCGATCAAATGCCAGCTAATGTTATCATATGTGCAGGCTTCTAGGTCTGAAATAGGACAACGGGGTCAGAACACAGGTGAATCCTCCCAGAATCGGAGAATGGTTTATTAAATCCCACTGTTAGTCCAAAAGTAATAGCCACCCAGCACATTTTAATAAAGCCTCTCGGATACTATGATGGCCATGTCTAGGATGGGTAGTGTACAGGTCATAGGTGGGATTTTCAAGAGTATCTAAGGCTGTGTCTAAACTACATCCCTTTTTTTGAAAAAGGGATGTAAATTAGACACTTCGAAAAAATGAGGAGTACAGGATCTTTTGAAAAAGGGCTTTATTTTCGAACGATCCTCGTTTAAGCAGCCATTCTTCTTTCGAAATCCTCTTTTCAAAAAACCTGCGGTCACTATTATGCAAATGAAGTGCGAGAAATTTAAATCCCAGCTTCATTTGCAATTTCGAAGTGTCTAATTTACATCCCTTTTTCGAGAAAAGATCTGTAGTTTAGACACAGCCTAAGTGAGTTAGGACTCAACTCCAGTTGATTTTCAGTAGAATTAAGAGTGCCTAACTCATACTTAGATCCGTGGTCTCCAACCTTTTTAACCACTTTTTCAATTTAAGTGCAATGTAAGATCTACCTCAAACCCAAATACCCTTGCCCCACTTCCTTCCCGCCCCTTCTTTGAGGCCCTGCCCCTGCTCTACCCCTCCTCCGAGGCCTCCCCTGCTCACTCCATCTCCCTTCCCCATCCTCACTCACTTTCACCAGGCTGGGGTAGGGGGTTGGGGTGCAGGCTCTGGTCTTGGGCCAAGGGGTTTAGAGTGTGGGAAGGGCTCCGGGCTTAGCCCAGGGCAGGGGATTGGGATCCCAGGAGGGGGTTCAGGGTGCAAGCTCTAGGAAGGAGTTTGGGTGCAGGGGGACTCATGTCTAAGGCAGAGGGTTGGGTGCAGGAGGAGGTTCAGGGCTGAGACAGAGATTCAGGAAGCAGACTCTGGCTGGGCACTGTTTAACTGAGATGGCTTCCGGGTGGTGGAGCAGTGGGTTAAGGCAGGCTCTCTGTGTGGAGATATGATACAGGAGTGGGGGGAGGAGGGACACCCTGACATCAGCATTCCCTCACTTCTCCCTCCCATACCTTGCACAACAAGCAGGAGGCTGCCGGGGGGCAGCTCCAAGGCAGAGGGCAGGAGCAGCAGGACAGTGGGTGGAAGGGCAACTGAAGTGCCAGCATTTGATAGCTTCCTGGCCAAACCAGTCAGGATCCCGTCAGAGGCTCCAAGATCAACCGGTAAATCCTGATATACTGGTTGGTGACCACTGACTTAGATGCTTTTGAAAATCTCACTCCCTATCCAGCAGGTGACAGGAAGAGATTTTATTCTCTCTGAACAAACAGCCACATGGTTGGTAGCCACATGCTCTCAGTACCAAGGTCAGATTGCACGAGAAAGTTGGGGTGGTTGGGAGCACACACACACACACACACACGCCCCCTGGTATAACGAGATACTCATTGCAAGGTTATATATGGGCTGTGTCGCTCTACTTCCATTCACTTCGTACAGCTCACTCGTGTACGCTGCAGTGAGCAGCCACACACAGCTTGGGGACTCTGGCTAGATACCGCGAGTACAGTACAGTACCTGGCAATGTCCCATTAGCATAACCATTAATGGTGTATAGGAGAGAGGCTGATTTTTGCCAGCTTTTGCTTTCATCAAAGACAGCAAACATCAACACGTATTCTCTGTCAAACAGTTTCTGCGTCCCATCTTCGTTCAGGCTTCCTGTGGAAGGAAACAAGGGGTATCATCTGAAGGAAAAAAAAATGCAGCTCACATCGGCTACGTCTACACTGGCATGATTTTCCGGAAATGCTTTTAACGGAAAAGTTTTCCGTTAAAAGCATTTTCGGAAAAGCGCGTCTAGGTTGGAAGGACACTTTTCTGCAAAAGCATTTTTTTTTTCGGAAAAAGACTTTTGCCCGAATGGGAGCAGCATAGTATTTCCGCAAAAGCACTGACAATCCTACATGAGATCGTCAGTGCTTTTGCGGAAATTCAAGCGGCCAGTGTAGACAGCTGGCAAGTTTTTCCGGAAAAGCAGCTGATTTTGCGGAAAAACTTGCCAGTCTAGACACAGCCATCAAGTAAAAGGCATCCAGATATACTTCATGAGCTTGCTGCCCATGCCTGCTGCATCTGGCCACAAGGGCATCTTTTCAAAAGGTGTCTGAGGTGAACTTAGTTCTGGATAAGGTTCTGGATTGGCAATTGTGGAGACTGAAGGCATCGAGCATCCACAGACCAGGTCCAGCACAGGAAGCATCAAGGTGCACATGCTCCCTCCAAACTACTCTGGCAATGTGCCACAAGGACCATCTCTGAGAGCAGGAGAGGAAATAGGTCTTGAGGTCCTAGTCAGTCTCTGCTTTTCTTCAGGGACCACCAGATTCAAGCTAGCTATGGCAGAGTTTCTTGCAAAGTAGACAGCTGCCTGCTTGATTCTGGACTGAGGTCCCCAAATCATTTCATACAGAGCAGCCTGTAAGGATTTTTAGTCATAACAGCCCTGGGAAGATTCTATACTACTGAACATGGGAGAGAATAGGATTGATGACCTAGAAATTGGCATGTATTTATTTTGTACACAAATATGTATTGTCATCCCACCCAAAAACCTGGTGTCATCTCCAATGTTCCCTCTAATATTTCTATCCATGTGCAGAATAAATTTTATTATGTGCACTGAGGCATGTGTGCATGTGCACCACCAGTAGAAACACAGGCAGCCAGCTGCGGGCACTCTGCCAATCAACTGGATGGCACCTGAATCTCTCCTGGACGGCCGCCCAAGTGCTCAGCTTACATGGAACACGGGTCATCTCCTTATTTCTTCTGACAGATTATAAACGTCAGAAATGCAAACTTTAGTATAATGCTAATTTAATTAATTCATGTCACCCAGGCAGTAACAAATGTGTAATGAAAGAAGTGGCAGGGCTCAAGCATTTTTTTTAAACTTTTGTACTAAGTGCAGTAAACCCAGAGCTGCCTGGACTATGAACTCCCAAATTAAGCACCGTACCCAGAACTAAAATTGATATTCAGAAATTAGGAGAAGCTTGACATGAGGAAGGAAAATAACCATCTCCAAAATATTCATGCGCACAATTAGCTACATCCTCAGAACGTTCCAGCAAGGATCACAATGAAACAAAAAAGGAAAGAGCTCTGAGGGGAGGAAGAGACTATAACAGATAATTTATAATACAAGAGCACTAATATTCCAAAATACCATTATTGACTATGGTGCCAATCCTGCTATGCAGAGTGTGTACAGCCCCCCACAAAGCCTGTTGAATTCAATGTGTAAGGAAGCATAGTTGAGTGCATTGCATTGCAGGCTCGGAGTTTGTTTATTTATGGGAAGGACTAAATATACAAAGCCATTTAATCAGTGTGCTCTACACAAGTTGTTCCATGCCACAAACTTTTCTCTGGGAAGGAGAGAACTAAACTAAGTAACTGATTTACCAGCCGTTAGCAAAGAAAGAATATATAATCCTGTGGATTGGATAGCTGGGGGACTGGCAGTGTGCTAAGGAAATTGTCCTCTAGCTCACCGATTCATATTTATCTCAGATTTGCAGCGAGTAGCTCATGTATGTTTGGGGGTTTATATAATAGCAATTGGTATCAATGAAGAGACAGAACATGCTCAGTAATGACAGAATCTTTGGCGCTATTAGCCACTAAACTCTATGACACTATTGAGCAAGTACAAACTGAAATTTTTCTAAGTCTTATAAAATGTCCAGACTTTCCACATGAACAGCAAAAAGCACACCCTTGACACAAAGGCCACCTCCCCCCGCTTCCTCAAATTTCATCGTCCTGCTCCAAACATGAAGAAGCTGGAGCTTCTCAACCAGTCTTACTGTTGTTTTTTTAATATGAGCAAAACAAGGCCTTTTTTCCTAAGCTGTGTCTAGAAGCCTCTCAGGAGGTTTACAGGATCTTTCGAAAAAGCCTTCCCTTTTCGAAAGAACCACGTCTAGACCGTGGTTTTACTTACGAAACAGTGCTTTTTCGAAAGAGAGCCATTACGTGATTATGCAAATGAAGCGTGGAAAATTCAAATCCCGGCTTCATTTGCAATTTCAAAGTGCCTAATTTACATCCCTCTGTCGAAAGAGGGATGTAATCTAGACACAGCCCTTGTCTCATTCTTGGAAGCAGTTGAACAGTTTTGGCTGTAAGTTTTCAAAAGAATTCAAATCAGAGCCAGACAGCAGGA